GGGGAGCCCTTCTTTCGGAGAGGTTTTTCTAACCAGATCATCCCAGTGATGGGTTACGAGTCCACGTGGTGCCAGCACAGCTGGGCACGTTTCACACCGTAGCGTGGGACAGTGTCCTCTCCTGACGCAGCCCCAGGAGAGCGTTCATGTAGCTCCATCCTCCAGCTGGCTGACGTCTCCCTGCCCGTACCAGCCTGTGTTGGCAGTGCCGGCCTGGCTGCACTGGTGATCCACCTCTCGGTACCCAGCTTGTCGTTACGACTGCGGCGTGGAATGAAATCTGTGGCTCTTGCCCTTCTCTCTCTCACTGGATTTGGCCCCAGTTGCACATCACAGCCATGCCCTGGAGATGGGTGTCTCACACATGGTCCCTTCTCCCCGCGCTGCTCAGCCGGGATCCCCGGGGTCCCGTGCTGAACGCACTGGCTGTAATTGCCTTTGGAGACCCCTCTGCGGTCGGGCACGCCATGTCCCTGACGAGTGCTGACTGCGCAGCTCTGCAGTGGCGCTGGAGAACTTGGACGTTACCAGCTCTTCCTGGCAGCCAGGCGTGGCGTCTCCAACAGCTTGGCCCTGCCAGGCATCGGCCCTTTGCTGGGACCTGTCCTGGGGCCCGGCTGGCCCCCCCTCACCCGGGGCTGGTGGGGGGGGCGGCGGGGCTTTTTTTTCCCCCGGGGCTGGTGGAGGGGCTGCTGGGCCGTCTGCCGTCAGCCCCCTTTGCTCTTCCAGAGCCAGCATCGAAAAGCACCCATGTGTCCACGTGGTGTCAGAGCGCAGCCCCCCCCTCCCCGGCCTGTCCCCTTCCCTTCTCTCCCGTGTCCGTCCAGCAGAGATGTGCAAGGACCCCCCATTTCTAGGAGACACCCCTTCTCCATCCTCTGCCTCTCTGTAACCCTTCCCGTCCTTCACGCCTGCAGGGCTGCCACCAGTTCCCTTCCATCCCCGTGCTTCCCGCAGGCAGCGTGCTCCCCTCTCCCCCATCTCCCCCAGGAGCAGCAGACCCTCCCAAAGCTCCTGCCCTGTGATACGCTGCTGCTGCTGCTGCGTGTCCCCTTCTGTAGAGACCCCGCACCGGGGAGGTGCAGTCCCTCCTCCCCTCCTTACCCACCCCGCCACCGAGCGTTTGGCACTTCCAGCTGTCCTGCAGCGTTCAATGTTCTCATCCCTTTTTCTGAAAGCCATGGCCTTTCATCTCTGAAATTTTTATGCTCCCGGTCGATGTCAAAAACTTGAAATATTTCCCAGGAAGTCAGCTGTAAATAGAGTGTTTAATGATGTCAGCCACTCTCCCTCATTGTGAAAATTCCTCTCTTTTATGAAATTGCTGTAAATTCAGAAAAT